AATAAGGTTGTTATAAGAGACTAGGAAGGACACTGCATAATGACCCAAGGATCAGTCCAAGAAGAAGATGAAACAGCTGTAAATACATATGCACCCAACATAGAAGCACCTCAGCACAGAAGGCAGATCCAGTGTGTGCGTGACACCTGAGCCCCTCTCAGTCCGGATGAGCCCATGTCAGCAGCTCAGTGGCCCCCTGGGACTGGAGCGTCCACCCTGGACGGCTCAGATCTGGACGCTTCCACCAGCTCAGCCAGAAGTCTGCTGATGAGTCTTGGGTTTCAAACATCAGGATCCAGGGTATTAGTAATTCTTTTTGTATCTTCATTACCTAGTTGAGGAATGGCACATGGTAGGTCCAAGCTATCTCTACGTGTTTGTGTCAAGCAACATCCCCATGGTGAGCAGTGATTCAGCATGCTAGAATGACTATCAAGCACACTGTCCCAGACAGGGGCCGTGAAAGTGCAACTGTATAGAAGCGGTAGATGTTCTCTCTGCCTGGCTGATCCTGGAAAACCCATGTTTATGAAACGTGGACGTGTCTGCTGCCTTCATGCACCGGTTCTCCACAGGAGCCTGATGCAGAGTGTGCGTGGTGCTCCTTCTCCTCCGTGCTCCCTCGGGAGAATGATCCCAGGCCTGCTGCGCACCTAACGGAGCAGGTTTCAAGGATCCAGATGCCAGTTTAAACTTCCAACTAGCAACCGATCATTACAGTGATCAATTCAAATAATTCTAAAGTCTCTCTAATATTGTCCTAATAAATTCATCTTGCTAACCCCTGTGTGCATGTCTAGGAATGCATGTTACCAGGCTCATGGACTAGAACACAGGGACAGGCTGGAGATCCAATTACAGACTCAAGGAGAGTGGTCTGTGGGTGACTTGAAACAAATGACAAAGTCCTTGCAGAGTCATGTGGATATGAGAGAGACCTGAGGATTCTGAGGAGGGAACTCCTGGCTTCAAAGGGGGCATTTTTCATATTAAATGGACCTGAGACCATAAATAGAAAGGGCTGTGGAACTTAAACTGAGGAGAAAGACCAGCCTTCAGATCACATCCTGATGATCAGTGAGAAAACACTTTGGAACAGTATGCAAAAGTGAGACGATGAAGGAAAATGCCCAACAGGAAACAGTGAAGGGAGCCCTGGTGCACTGTGAGTGTCCCTCCCCATTATGACTTTCACTGTAAACTTGGGTTCTCCCACAGGGAACAGAAAACTCTCCCTCCCCTCTGCTCAGCTGCCCTTGTGGACCTTCTCAATAATTGCCAGGAGTTGTCACTAGTCCCAGGCATGGATGGGGGTGAGGAGCACTGGGGGTAAGATCTGCTCCTCCCTGGAGACGCCCCAGACTCTCCATGCAGAGTGTCATCTCCGCTCCAGATGACATGATAATGGCTCCTCTGTGGGGAGATTGGGCCCAGGGACCCTGTCCCTATAACTGGGGCCCATCCTGACTGACACTCCCTGCACAGAGTGTGGAGCCAAGTGCAGGCAGGTGAGTGCTCCCTTGTGTTCAGTCTCAGGGCAGGAAACGGGAGAGCAGGCTCTCCAGCAGGAGAGGAGTTTGAAGCTGAGACTGCAGGATACAGGCTGACTCTGCCTCACTCTGAGCATCCACACCCAGGGTTGCAAACAGTTGGACACGACTGAAGCTTGGCACGCATGCAGGCAACGTTGTTTCTCAAACCAGCGCAGCTGAGCACAGGCAACAGGGCCAAAGGAAGAGATCCAATATGAGGTTAGGTCTGTTCTTTGTTACGACTGGGGCCACGGTGAAACGTAGCTTTCTAGGAAGGCCATGGAAGTTGCAGGTAATCATAATTCAAAGCAGAGATCAGAATCCATACATCTTGTATTTCCTCCTTCTGTTGTTGGAGATGCTGTGGAATAGCAGCAGCTGATGCTCACGGGATGTTTAATGTCCAGACACTGTGGGCAGAGAATCTATTAGTCAACAAGGTGAGCTGTACTTGTCCCCGTACAACTCTCAACGTATTGAAAGAGAAACTGTTGGTTGCTCAGTCGCGTCCAACTCTTTGCAACCCATGGACTGTAGCCCACCGGGCTTCTCTGTCCGTGGGATTCTCCAGGCAGAAGAGTGGGTTGCTATTCCCTTCTCCAGGGGATCTTCCCAACCCAGGGACTGACCACGAGTCTCCTGCATTGCAGGCAGATTCTTTACCATCCGAGCCACCAGGGAAGCCCAGAGAGAGAGGTGGAGTAAAAACAAAAGCAAAGAAAAAAAAACAAAACATAGATTTAGGGTGGTTTTTTTTTTTTAGTAAATGACATTTTATTATTCAAATTCTCTGGTGTCAGTGTACAACAGGAAAATCACTTCCTCCTCATAGAGTGACTTTCATTTCAGCAGCATCAGCGGGAGGTAGGTATAGGAACAGTGGAATGTTAAAGAAAGTTCATCTTCTTTCCAATGGAGCAAGAATTTCAGCTTCTTTCCCAAGGTAACATCTGTATTTATGTCAATGATCTTACCCAGTTTTGCTTCTTCTAGTATCTTAACTTCTCATTCAAGTTTTCTTTGTTTATTATGTATTTTTTTTAATTGGAGGCTAATTACTTTACAACATTGTAGTGGTCTTTGCTATACATTGACATGAAGCAGCCATAGGTGTACATGCGTCCCCCATCCCGAACCCCTCTCCCACCTTCCTCCCCATCTCATCTTGAGACTGAGATAGCAAATCAGAAACTGTCATTGAGGATTATCATCAGGTGACTGTGAACAAGTGAAACCAAGTGGGCTGGAGTCTGAAGAAGCAAGACAATTGAAGTAGTGGGAAGAAGGGAATTCCAGGAAAAAGGAAGGATGTGAATTGTTGTGATAAAAGGAAAATGTTTTTTTTTTTTTTTAAGGGAAGTAAATTCAGCTGGACTCAGGACAAGAAACACTAGTAAGGAAATGCCTTATGAGCCTGACCTTGAATGTTATAATCATCCCTCACATTCCTACCGGGTGGAGAGTTTATCTTTTCAAAAAATCAGCTATCTTTTCAAAAAACCAGCTCTCTTCTTTGCTGATCTTTTATTTCTCTGGTCTGTATTTCATTTACTTCTGCTCTGATTTTTGTTAATTCTTTCCTTCTGGTGGCATTGGGCTTAGTATTTTTCTTTTCTTTTAGTTCCTGGATGTATAAAGTTAGATTGTTCCTTAAAATCTTTCTTTTGGGACTTGCCTGGCAGTCCAGTGGTTAAGACTTCCAATGCAGGAGATACAGGATCCATCCCTGGTCCTGGAGCTAAGGCATCCCACATGCCTTGAGGTCAAAAAACCAAAACATAAAAACAGAAACAATTGTAACTAATTCAATAAAGACTTTAAAAATGGTCCACATCAAAAAAAATCTTAACAAAAAAGACTTGTTATCATATTCGTTTCCAAGTTTAGCAGGATTCTCATTTTTACAAAAACAAAAACTAATGAAGATGTAAAGCAATCTGTCTGTGCATTGAGTCTAACAACCAAAGTATTTTATTAGCTTTCTGGTGACATAATTGACAAGCAAAAATTGTACTTATTGAAGGTGTACACCTGGATGTTTTGACTGAAGTGTTTATGTTTACATACGGCCTGAGGCAGGCTGGAGACTGCTTTGGAAAAATCTCCCCACAGATCTCTACTCTCCAGCAAGTCAAGACCTGCAAAATTATTAGTGATTAAAATTCTTTGCAAACTAAGGTTATTTTCCATACCAAATAGATTATCTGAGGGACTTTCAGCAGCCTGTATAGTCAGAGTGCTACCAATTTTATGATGGGTGTTTTGTATACTACCACATCAATGTATAATTTAGATTTATCCACAGCTGAAACTATATTCTCTAAAAGCTTTAATAAGTTCTGTAACCCTGTAATATGTGTATTTTTTGCCTTTCTGTTTAATTTTCTTCAGGCATGATAATGGTAGAGAGGATGAAAATGAATTATAAATATCATGCAGGCACAGACTCAACGGACATGAGTTTGAGCAAACTCTGGGAGACAGTGAAGGATAGGGAAGCCTGGCGTGCCGCAGTCCATGGGGTCAAAAGAGTCAGACGTGACTAAGCGACTGAAGAACAACAGTGTATTTTTGTTCTTGTCTCCTTTCACTTGTTTACCAACTACACGTTTATTAAATTTAATTTATTATTATGTGTCAGTCATATATATATATATTTTTACTAACATAGGCATGGCTTCTAAACTCATGGGTTTACATCTGTGTAGGGAGTCAGAATATAAAAGTAAACAGAAAGAAATATAAAGTAATAGTGATAAAATGTGAAATAGGTGTCACTGGTGTACTTCTGCAGGTTAAGTCCCTGCTGTGGAGTACGATAGTGTCCCTCTTTTCAGAACAGAAGGTCCAGGACCGGCGTACAAGGTCACATAAGGCTCTCTGTGTCTGCACGAGCGAATCCTGCTCTTCACACCAGGCGGCTCTGGAACCCTCTCCACGTGTGCTCGGAAGGGTGTGAGCAAGCAGAAGTGCTAGCTTCTCGGTCATGTCCGACTCTGTGCAACCCCATGGACTGTGGCCCACCAGGCTCCTCTGTCCATGGGATTCTCCAGGCAAGGATACTGGAGTGGATTGCCATTCCCCTCTCCAGGGGATCTTCCCAACTCAGGGATCGAACCTGTGTGTCCTGCATTGCAGGCGGACTCTTTACTGTCTGAGCCACCAGAGAAACCTGCATTCAGAAAGATGCTCCCCCCCCGCCAGAAAGAATCAGGGGAAACGTTTCTGAAAGCCCTACTTCTGCTCCAGGTTGGGACCGGGGCTCTGGCCAACGTCATCCTCTTCTTCTGTAATGTCTCCCCAGTCTTGCTTGGACACAGACAGAGACCCCCGCAGACGGCTGTCACCCATTTGGCCATGGCCAACCCCTTGGTTCTTCTCTCCGCTGGGGTTCCACACACAATGGCTGCTTTTGTTTTGAGGAAGCCCCTGTCCGGCCTTGGGTATAAGTTTGTGTATTACATCCAGAGGGTGGCTTGCGGCACCAACCTGTGCTCCACCTGCGTCCTGAGCACCTATCAGTCCTTCACTCTCACCCCCAGCAGAGCGGAGTGGGTGATGCTTAGAGGAAGGGCCCCCAGGGTCACTGGTCCTTCCTGTTGGGTCTGCTGGGTGCTCAGTCTCTTAATGAATTTCTGGATTCCTGTGAGCATCTCTGGTCCACAGGATGAGCACAACTATACTGATGCCCAAGGCAAGTGGTTCTGCTCATCCCCAGCTTCTAAAGCAGGCTTGGTCTACTTGTGGTCCACCTCTGATGCTGTGTTTATTACCCTCATGGTCTGGTCCAGTGGCTCCATGGTGCTTCTCCTGCTCAGACACCACCAGAGGGTTCAGTATATCCACACCCCCACTGGGCACCGCAGATGCCCCCCAGAGACCAGAGCCACCTGCACCGTCCTGATGCTGGTGGTCACCTTCGTCATCTTATACCTGCTGAATTCTGTTTTCACTTTGTATACCAGGGCCCATGATGATTTTCACCTGTGGTTGATGCAGGTCTCAGATGTCTTGGTCTCATGTTTTCCCACGGTTTCCCCCTTCCTGCTGCTCCTGAGGGGCCCTAGAACCCCCAGGTTCTGCTCCTGAATCTTGGCAAATAGTTGGGGAAACAACAGAAACAGTGACAGACTTTTATTTTGGGGGGCTCCAAAATCACTGCAGATGGTGACTGCAGTCATGAAATTATAACACACTTGCTCCTTGGAAGAAAAGCTCTGACCAATCTAGACAGCATATTAAAAAGCAGAGACATTACTTGGCGAACAAAGGTCCATCTAGTCAAAGCTATGATTTGTCCAGTAGTCGTATATGGATGTGAGAGTTGGACCATAAAGAAAGCTGAATGCTGAAGAACTGATGCTTTTGAACTGTAGTTTTGAAGGAGACTCTTGAAAGACCCTTGGACTGCAAGGAGATCCAACCAGTCCATCCTAAAGGAAATCAGGCCTGAATATTCATTGGAAGGACTGATGCTGAAGCTGAAACTCCAATACTTTGGCCACCTGATGCAAAGAACTGACTCATTGGAAAAGAGCCTGATGCTGGGAAAGATTGAAGGCAGGAGGAGAAAGGGATGACAGAGGATGAGATGGTTGGATGGCATCACCGACTCAGTGGAGATGAGTTTGCGCAAACTCCAGGAGACAGTGAAGGATGATATAGTAAAGGGAAGCCTGGCATGCTGCAGTCCATGGGGTCACAGAGTTGGACACGACTGAACAAGAACAGAATCAATGAATGTGTAGGGATCAATAAAAGAAACCACCAGCTGGACAGAAGATGTATCTGTCTTCATCAGTGAACCTCCACATGAGTATTCCCCTATTGATGCTCTACTCGCCCCAAGAAGCCCGGCGTGAAGCGTCCAAGCCTAGCAGCGCCGACGCCCAGTCAGTCGCTGTGTCCAGCAAGCAGACCCCTTTCCTGCGCCTCGACTTCTCCTTCCTTCCAGCCCGCTGCCCCCAGGGCACACAGCTTCCGTTTCACAGCTCAAGAGGGCCTGAAGGTTACTGTTTTTCTTTTTTTTTTTTCCATTTATTTTTATTAGTTGGAGGCTAATTACTTTACATCATTGCAGTGGTTTTTGTCATACATTGAAATGAATTAGCCATGGATTTACATGTATTCCCCGTCCCGGTCCCCCTTCCCAGAGCCTGAAGTTTAAATCAAGCTTCGAGTAGACTATGGCATGGGACCAGATTTTGAGTCTGTAGTAAGGGGTCATGCAAATCCCTTTGATCCCATCACTTCTTTTCCCGAATCACCATTCCTTCTCCAGGTAGGTAAACCTGCTTTTGATTCCCCAAGTCCAGATTGTTAGAAATAACAGGTCCCAACCCTCCCAAACTTCAGACAATACTACAAAGCTACAGTAATCAAAACAGCGTGGCCCTGGCACAAAAGCAGAATATGGATCAATGGAACAGAATAGAGCCCAGAAATAAACCCATACACCTAGGTCAGTTAATCTTCAACAAAGGAAGCAAAAATATACAGTGGAGAAAATAGAGGTGCTTCAGCAAGTGGTGTTGGGAAAGCTAGACAGCCACGTATAAATCGATGAAGTTAGAACATTCTCTCACACAATACTCAATAATAAACTCAAAATGGCTTAAAGACTTACAGAGATAAGACACCATAAATGCGTAGAAGAGAACACAGACAAAATGCTAACAACATAAAATATACCAATGGTCTTTTAGGTCAGTCTCCCAAGACGATAGAAATAAGAGCAGAAATAAATGGGACTGCATCAAACTAACAAGCTTTTGCACAGCAAAGAAAACCATAAACAAAAATACAAGGTACAGAGTGGGAGAAAATATTTTCAAATGACAGGACTGATAAGGACTTGATTTCTAAAGTATACAGTTAGCTCATACAATTCAGTAACAAAACAGCCAATCAAAAAGTGGCAGAAGACAAGGAGCCAAGATGGCGGAGGAATAGGACGGGGAGACCACTTTCTCTCTTACAAATTCATCGAAAGAACATTTGAATGCTGAGCAAATTTCACAAAACAACTGCTGATCGCTAGCAGAGGACATCAGGCGCCCAGAAAAGCAGCCCATTGTCTTCGAAGGGAGGTAGGACAAAATATAAAAGATAAAAAGGGAGTCAAAAGAGCTACGGACGGAGACCCGTCCCGGGAAGGGAGTCTTAACAGAGGAAGTTTCCAATCACCAGGAAACCCTCGCACTGGCGGGACTGGGGAAAGTTTTCGGCAATCTAACTGGGAGGAAAAATTAAACAAGGCCCACAGATTACGTGCCTAAAAGCAACTCCCAGCAGAAAAGTACCCCAGACGCCCGCACCCGCCAGCAACAAGCGGGGGCGGGACGGAGAGGAGCGGGCGGCATTGCTTAGGGCCCGAACACACTGCCGGCGGTTCGCAAAACAAAGGGACTGAGAAAGTCCAGAGAAGAGCCGACCCATCCCCGCTGGAGGTTGGAGGCAGGGGAAGGGGAAAAAGGCAAACTCAGCCCCTGAGAAGCCACCCCCTCCCACACTGCAAACAGGCCCCCGGTTCCTATCTAAAGACTTCTGAGACCCAACTGGCGGCGCGCGCTGGGGCCGCGGAGGGAAAAAGCGCGCCGTACCCGGGGAGAGTGCGCCCAAGCCTCTGGCTGCCTGAGCTGCCCGCCGCGGAGGGAAAAGGCGCGCCACATCCGGGGAGAGTGCGCCCAAGCCTCTGGCTGCCTGGGCCGCTCGTCGCGGAGGGAAAAGGCGCGCTGCACCCGGGGCGAGTGCGCCCAAGCCTCTGGCTGCCTGAGCCGCTCGCCACGGAGGGAAAAGGCGCGCCACGTCCGGGGAGAGTGCGCCCAAGCCTCTGGCTGCCTGAGCTGCCCGCCGTGGAGGGAAAAGGCGCGCCGCATCCGGGGAGAGTGCGCCCAAGCCTCTGGCTGCCTGAGCCGCTCGCCGCGGAGGGAAAAGGCGCGCCGCATCCGGGGAGAGTGTGCCCAAGCCTCTGGCTGCCTGAACCGCTCAGGCTGGGGAAGGCACAAAACGCAGGCGCAACCGAATCTGCGCTTTTGTGGAGTACCCGAAAACTGGAACCGCACTCAACGCAGGGCCCGCTCCATATAGAGCAGCCGGGAGCCTGAGCAGTGTAGACGGCAAAAGCACTGACACCCGTGAGCGGGGCAAACCCAGTGTGACCAGAACACGGTGAGTGCTAGCCACACAGAGCGGTATCTGTCTGCAGCGCCCCGCCCTCCCCGTAGCAGGACTGAACTGAACTACCGAACCTAAATAAGAGATCACCTCCACCCGCCTGTGTCAGGGCGGAAATTAGACACCAAAGAGACGGCAAACAGAAGCCAAATAAACAAAGGGAACCGCTTCAGAAAGGACCGGTGCAACAGATTATATCCCTGAAGGTAGTAACACTGACCGACTACACCAGAAGGGGCCTATAGATATCGAAAAGTGTAAGCTGGAAAGAGGAGCTATCTGAAATTGAACTGAACCTACACTGACTGCAACAACTCCAGAGAAATTCCTAGATATTTATGTTTTTTTTTTTTAATTTAAAAAAAAATTTTTTTTCTATCTTTTTTTATTTTTTTTTATTTTTTCTTTTATTTTCTTTTAAAATTCCCTATTACTCCCCCATTACTCCTCAACTTTCATTTTCATATATTTTTACGATTTTTTTAATTAGGGAAAAAAATTTTTTTTTCTTTTTCTTGTTTTTCTCTCCTATTTCCTTTTAAAGTCCTCTAATACTCCTCTATTATTCCTTAATTTTCATTTTCATTCCACTATAACCTTGCCAAAAAAAAAAAGAGAGAGAAAAACCCTATTTTTAAATCAAACTTCATATACATTTCTAAATTTTTTGTGTTTTTGTTTTTAAATATTGTATTTCAAAGAGTCTAACCTCTACACTAGATTTTTAATCTTTGTTTTTCAGTAGTATGTGATATGAATTTTGGTCATTTAAGAATCCAATATTTAGTTCCCATTTCTATTCAGGAGTGTGGTGATTACTCTCCCACTTTTGACTCTGTTTTCTACCTCAGAACACCTCTATTTCCTCCTTTCCCTTTCTCTTCCCAATCCAACTCTGTGAATCTTTGTGGGTGTCTGGGCTACGGAGAACACTTTGGGAACAGATAACTGCGTAGATCTGTCTCTCTCCTCTTGAGTCCCCTTTTTCTCCTCCTGATCACCTCTATCTCCTTCCTCCCTCTCCTATTCTTCATGTAACTCTGTGAACCTCTCTGGTTGTCTCTCACGGTGGAGAATCTTTTCACCATTAACCTAGAAGTTTTATTATCAGTGCTGTATAGTTGGAGAAGTCTTGAGACTATTGGAAGAATAAAACTGAAATCCAGAGGCAGGAGACTTAAGCCCAAATCTTGAGAAAACCAGAAAACTCCTGACTACATGGAACATTAAGGAATAAGACACCATCCAAAAGCTTCCATACCTACACCAAAACCAACCACCACCCAAGAGCCAATAAGCTCCAGTACAAGACATACCATGCAAATTCTTTAGCAACGCAGAAACATAGACCTGAGTGTCAACATACAGGCTCTCCAAAGTCACACCTAACACATAGATCCATCGCAAAACTCATTACTGGACACTCCATTGCACTCCAGAGAGAAGAAATCCAATTCCACGCACCAGAACGCTGACACAAGCTTCCCTAACCAGGAAACCTTGACAAACCAATCGTCCAACCCCACCCACTGGGTGAAACCTCCACAATAAAAAGGAACCTCAGACCACAAGAATACAGAAAGCCCACTCCAGACACAGCAATCTAAACAAGATGAAAAGGCAGAGAAATACCCAACAGCTAAAGGAACATGAAAAAAGCCCACCAAGTCAAACAAAAGAGGAGGAAATAGGGAATCTACCTGAAAAAGAATTGAGAATAATGATAATAAAAATGATCCAAAATCTTGAAAACAAAATGGAGTTACAAATAAATAGCCTGGAGACAAAGATTGAGAAGATGCAAGAAATGTTTAACAAGGGCCTAGAAGAAATTTAAAAAAAGTCAATTAAAAATTAATAATGAAATAAATGAGATCAAAAACACTCTGGAGGGAACCATGAGTAGAATAACA